TGAATTGATTGGAATTCCTTCACCGCCCACCTGTGCACGCTTTTTGGCCGGGATCGGCACCAAATGCTGATCCGACAGTTTTACACTGTCCGGCAAACTACTTCAGTTGCTGATTACATCGAGAAGTTTGAATTGATTATCAATCACTTAAGCTCCTATTCTGACACTATTCATCCATTTTACTTTCTCACACGTTTCATGGAGGGGCTGCGAAAGGACATTCGGGATGTGGTTCTGGTCCAGCGGCCACAGGACCTGGACACGGCCTGCGCTCTCGCCTTACTGCAAGAGGAAGTGGCTGATGGCATTTTCTTCGCTCTACCACGGCCACCCGAATCATCTTCAAGGCCAAGCCTGGCGCTCCCTCTTCCTCCGCCTCCACCGCGCCTCGCTCCGCCGTCAAGAGCCACTGATCGCCGGGGAACGGAGGCAGCGCGTGCTGACACATCCAAGGTGAAGGCGTTGCGTGACTATCGTCGGGCCCGCGGTCTCTGCTTCAAATGCGGAGAACGCTGGGGGCACGACCACACTTGCCCGACTACAGTCCAACTCCATGTCGTCGAAGAGATGCTAGAACTCTTCGGCGTCGACGACAACCAAGAAGACAGTGGAACTCCCGCTCCACCGTGCGACACGGCCATGGACATCTCACGTTCTGCTCTAGACAGCAGTGTATCAGCCAAGGCCTTCCAACTCCTCGCCACCATGCAAGGGTGCGAGGTGCTTTTACTCGTCGACAGTGGCAGTTCCACATCGTTCATCGACCAGAAGCTGGCACAGCAGCTGAGCAGTGTCACTCCTCTCAAGCAACCGTCCCGAGTCCGTGTGGCTGACGGTGGTGAACTGACATGTAAAGCATCCATTCCAGCCTGCCAATGGTCTTCTCAAGGCCACGATTTCGTCACGGACATGAAGATACTTCCTCTGGGCACATATGACGCAATTCTCGGCATGGATTGGTTGGAGCAACACAGTCCCATGACGGTCGATTGGAAAACCAAATATATTCAGTTCCCTACTCCTATGGGGCGAGCCCACCTGTTCGGGCATGAAGCCAACTCCACCACCTGTCATGTGATCAACATGATCCAACTTCAGAATCTGCATCACCAAGGCTCCCTGTTACATGTCATTTTGCTGTACTAGCTTGAAGGAGGAGAGACAGACAACCCAGCTGAACCGCCTGAGTTACAGCACCTCCTGGCCGAATTCGCTGATGTGTTCGATGAACCTTCAGGCCTTCCACCTCGTCGAGCCTGCGACCATACCATACCTCTGGTCCCCGGCGTGCAACCTGTCAATATCCGGCCTTATCGGCACAAGCCAGAGCACAAGACCGAGATCGAACGCCAAGTGATAGAATTGCTGAAATCAGGGGTTATCCAACGCAGCCAGAGCAACTTTTCTTCGCTTGCAATTCTGGTCAAGAAGAAGGATGGAACTTGGCGGCTATGCATCGACTACCGGCACCTCAATGCCATGACCCGTATCAGCAAGTTTCCTGTGCCTGTGATAGAAGAGTTGCTCGACGAACTCCACAGGGCAAGGTGGTTTTCCAAGCTCGACCTCAGAGCGGGCTATCACCAGATACGATTGGCTGAAGGTGAGGAGTTCAAGACGGCATTCCAAACGCACTCTGGGCATTATGAATTTAAGGTTCTGTCCTTTGGATTGGCGAGCGGGCCAGCCACTTTCATTGGAGCTGTAACAGAAACGCTGCACCCACTCCTTCGCCACTGTGTCCTCTTGTTCTTCGATGACATTTTGGTATTCAGCAAGACCTGGGAGGAACATGTTGACCATCTCAAACAAGTCCTCGAGCTGCTGCGAAGGGATCAGTGGAAGGTCAAGCGCTCCAAGTGCGAATTCGGCCAGCAGCAACTGTCCTATCTGGGTCACGTCATCAGCGGCGACGGAGTAGCCACGGAGCCCAGCAAGATACATGCGGTGCAAGCCTGGAACACCCCCAAGGATGCCAAGGAAGTTCGCCAGTTCCTCGGCCTTGCGGGTACTATCACCGTTTCGTTCGAGGGTTTGGTGTGATAGCTAGGCCTCTCTTCAACTTACTCAAGAAGGGGGTGCCTTTCGTCTGGACAGATAACACAGCACAGGGGTTTGAGTTACTCAAACAACAACTAATCACAGCCCCAGTGCTCGCACTTCCCAATTTCAGCAAGACTTTTACAGTGGAGACAGACGCCTGCGACAAAGGGATTGGCGCGGTTCTGCAACAAGAGGGGCACCCGATAGCCTTCATGAGCAAGAGCCTGAGTCCTAGGTACGAGGGGCTCTCCACTTATGAGAAGGAATACCTCGCAATTGTGGTCGCCGTAGATCAATGGCGGCCTTATCTTCAACATAGCGAGTTCGTCATCTACACGGACCAGAAAAGCCTTATACACTTAGAGGAACAGAGGCTGTCCACACCCTGGCAGCAGCGTGGATTCACGAAGCTCCTGGGGCTGCGTTACACCATCCGTTACAAGAAGGGCACAGAAAACACAGCCGCCGACGCCCTGTCAAGAGCCCAATCGCAAGAACGGTTGTTCAATGTTACCTCTTGTCAACCCTCGTGGCTTGAGGATGTCATAGCCAGCTATAACTGCAATTCACAGGTGCAAAAACTCCTGGAAGAGCTGGTAGTAAGGGAAGACCCCAAAGGGCGTTTCTCATTATAGAGTGGAATTCTGCGATTCCGTGGACGCATTTGGCTGGGTGGATCAACTGAACTCCAACAACGCATCATGGCAGCATTCCACGACAGCTCAATTGGTGGCCATTCTGGATTTCCAGCAACTTTTCGGCGCGTCCGTCGCCTCTTTGCTTGGCCGAAAATGAAGACCCATGTCCTGTAGTATGTCCGTTGTTGCCCCACTTGTCAGCAAGCTAAACCAGATAGAGCAGCGTCACCGGGTTTGCTTCAGCCTCTCCCTATTCCGCAACAGCCGTGGGAAATGATCACGATAGATTTCGTTGAAGGCCTGCCACAGTCCGGCAAGTTCAACTACCTCTGGGTTATAGTGGACAAGCGCACCAAGTTTGCGCACTTTTTGCCGTTGACGCACCCATATACAGCAGCGAAAGTGGCCCTCCTATACATGAACAGCGTGTACCGGATCCACGGCTTCCCTGCTGCCATTGTGTCTGATCGTGACCCGGTCTTCACCAGCCACTTTTGGAGGGAACTATTCAAGTATGCGGGTACCGAGCTGAGAATGAGTACGGCCAATCACCCACAAACTAACGGGCAAACCGAAAGGGTGAATCAGTGCGTAGAGACTTACCTCAGATGCTTTGTGCACGCCTGCCCGACGCGATGGAGCCACTGGATACTACTTGCCCAGTTTTGGTATAACTCATATCACCACTCCAGCATTGGAATGTCGCCGTTCAAAGCGATGTTTGGGCATGAACCACGACACTGGGGGATCACACCTACTTCGGAGTGCACAGTCCCAGCACTCCATTCGTGGCTGGATGAACGTGCAGTGATACAAGACCTACTTCAACAACACCTCAACAGAGCGCAGCAGCACATGAAGGACCAAGCAGACAAGCGACGATTGCCTCATACTTTCGAGGTTGGCGACTCAGTTTACCTCAAGCTGCAGCCGTACATTCAAACCTCTGTTGCCAGGCGAGCCAATCATAAGCTGGCCTTCAAGTACTACGGACCTTACCAAGTCATCGCCAAGATCAATGAAGCTGCATACAAGCTGGAACTTCCCCAACACTCGCAAGTTCACCCGGTTTTTCACGTGTCCCAACTGTGCCGCTGCCTTTGACCGGGTACGCCATCCAACCCGATCCTTCCACACCTTACTGATGCACCAGTCGTGCCAGTTGCAGTCCTCCAACAACGTTGGCGCAAGAGAAATGGTGCCATGGTCGAGCAAGTCCGCGTCCGCTGGTCTGACGAATCAGCCTTCGGCGACACCTGGGAGGATAAGGAGGCGCTCCAAGCTCGATTCCCAGCAGCAGAGGCTTGGGGGCAAGCCTCGTCGCAAGGAGGAGGGGATGTCAGCGTCCCTAGCTCCAGCCAGGCACCTGACAAGGCGGCCCCAACCGGCAGTGGCCTAGCCACTGCCCAGAGGCCCGTCAGGACGAGGAAGCCCAACTCACTCAGCAACGGCCCACAATGGGCAAAGTGAGCCCAGCCGCTGTGGTACTTATTCCTGCCCGAGCGGAGATCCAACCATCCGGTGGATCACGAACCTGGCGGCGGCACGAACCCTAGCTTCCTACTGTTCCTCCTTCTTCCCCCAAATTCGTGTATCTGAGCTTGTAATCGAACCTGAGTGACAGCATACATTCTATAGATCGTTCCCCCACTCTCACTACCCTTACATTCCCCTCTGGCCCCATGGCACCAGAGCAACGCCGGAGGCAGTAGGGAGAGGCAATTGATCATTTGGCAGCAAGGATTACTTTCAAGCAGGCTGAAGCTGCATTGTCTTAGATTCGACGCACGGAATGTAAAACTATGTATCCAGCCGAGAAATAAGCAAGTTAAACTCCCAACACAGACAAATGCATACTTCGTAAGGTCCTTAAGTTAAGGAGTTCAAGAAATTCTCTAAACAACAAAAACTATATCTCCGACTCCTTCGATGATCCAGCATTTCCTCTTCATGCGCCCGGGACTTCAAAAGGACAGACAGACCCAGTGCATAGAAGCTCCCACACAAGGTGGGGTCTGGGGAGGGATTATAGGAACCTAGTCTTACCCCTGCAAAGTGCAATGCAGAGAGGCTGGTTCGAACCCAGGACCTCTTGGCACAAGTGAGAAAACAGAATACAGATTTTCCATGAGATATGTTGGCAATAAAGAAGGTAACATCTCTTAGAAAGACTTTCTTGAGATCATTATCAACTTCGACCACCCGATAATTCCAAAAGTGTCACACTGGACCACAGTTTGCACATTGGGAGTACGCAACAACCGTCAAATGTTTCAAGGAAAGGGACCGGATCTACCAGGTCAGGGCAAGCAAACTTACAGGAGCTGTAACCTCTTCGTTCTGCAATATAATCTTCCAGGTATCTGCAGTGATTTGCTTCTGCAACTGAAGTAGAAGATGGTAAACATCAGTACATCACAATTTTGCTTGCTTAAATTTATCAACACACTCGACTCGTAGGGGGCACTCAACCACCAGGGCATGTGTATATAGTATATTTATTCACTTTTTCACTACTGTTTGAGCTTTGTAAGTTGACCCCATATTCTTCATTTTCTTTCTCTATCGACATGATGTGTTGTGCTCTGATCAGGATGACAAAGGGGTGTTATCTACATATTTCTGCTGTGTTCACTGTTAACAGAGTACATTCATCAAACACTCTCAACTCGAAACATCACTAATCATTTCCCCACTAGCACCAATATACATAATGATTCGAGCTTACGGATAAACTGTACCTTCCGGCCAATAAATAGATCTTGGGCTTCGGTGTTGCCACGGAAGTGGCTGCGAACAGGCTTGAAGCAAAGACAATGAGCAAAAACAAGTAATCAGATTGAAGTATTACTTTGGATATGAACTAGTTAAAAATATGAGGAAAATACTTAGATGTCCAAATAACTCGAGGACACAAATAATTCAGTTGGGTATTATAGGCCAGGGGAAAAGAAAAAGAAGCCAACAAGGTTAGCTGGACCAATGTTGAAGACTGTAAGGTTGTCATGTTGTTTCTAGATCTAGAATGTTTGACCAACTTCCAAGGAAAAGAACTATCTTAAATTTTCCTATTATTAACACATGAAAGATTGAACTATCAAGTGTAGATTCTCTTTATAGCAAGTATAGTTTTGAGATATCTGCAAGGAGCCAAGAATTCACCAAATCATTTGATTATCCTTCACCACATCCATTTATCATTAATCCTAGGGTAGTTCTCAACTTCTCATACTGATAGAATTATTCCAGTCAAAGAAACAAATACTGATAGAACAAGAACACCCACATGCCACATAGTTGTTGCGTTACTTTTGGCTAAGAGAGATCAACAAAATAAACAGACGTTTTACTGACATGCAGACCTGGCCCCACGTTATTAATCGTCCCTATGTTAAAATTTCATTTCAAAGATAGCTAAAGGTTCAGTTATATTCAGATAGAAATAATGCATAAAGCTAAACGAAATGTGTTTTTAACCTGAATATCAATATCCTGGCACAGGTTATCAGCATATCATTGGGTACGATTTGGATATTAAAAATTAAGAAAGCAACAATTACCTCTAATATTTTATTCATTGCCTTTTCAAAAGCCAGTTTAACATCAGTTGAATCAATATCACCACTTTCATAATCAAGGAGAAGTTGTTCCATGTTTGTATATGTCCTGTATAAAAAAAACAATTCTCACAAAATGATGAAATACGATATCTATTCATACCGTTTATACTTTACACAATAGTAAGATCTATTGGTGCTCGATTCTTTGGTACTCCAGTAAATCTAACTTCCAAAACATCTTACATTTAGGAACAGAGGTAATACCTACTTAAGATTGTGCTGACTGGCTATCAAATGTAGAATGTGATGGTGATTTGATTATGGGCATACATAACTTTTTCCACCCTACTGGTGAATTACGGAATCAACGTTTCACAACAAACAGGCAGAATTATTGATAGATGACCGAGAGATTACTTGTAACTACCACTCCCTTCTGAACTGCCTCCAACTTTGCACACCATTGTTCCATGCTCACATGTGTAATGTACAAGATAATAGCTCTCACAAATGCAGGAACATAATACTGATTTATAGCATTTACAAAGTCAACCTTTCACAATAACAGGAAGAGGCAACGTCTATTAGAAGATTGAAAGAACATTACCTGTTATAACCATTCCCTTCCTTATGAACTATCGCCAACTTTCCAAACCAAGGGAATATAACATATTTGATGTACTCCAAACAAGGGTTACATGTTGCTATTTTTGGAGGGCAGAAAGACCAAAGTATTTTCCTATTTAAATCCTCCTGCAGTGAACAAACCCTTTCAGTCTTCTGTAGCAGATAATAAATATGAGAGCTAGATATTATCCAAAATAGAAACTAGATTGCCCACTAAAAATTTGTAAAGTATAAGAACTCGAAAGTGCTGCTATGAGCTAGATGTGCGCATACACTTTTTTCCAACAGGGCTCACACCCCTTTCCATTAATAGCTCAACGGAAATATTCAATACAAAGTTCAACGACGCCTAGATGCAATCAGGTAGCAAGTAAAGGGAAAGAGAAGAGAGCGAGTTGAGGCATCGACAGGAAACCCACCATAAGTGCTCGATGTCGAAACACCTACTACGGGACAAAAATCTGTTGACACCATAACCCACAGTGACAATCTCCAACAAACAGAAGATAAGCAACGGCCAACGGGCATCAAACCCAGCTAAAGCACCAGGATAACTAGACAAAAGAGTCCACGGGCAACCAACAGCATGCTACAGACATGCGCATACACTTGTGAAGAGTAAACTGGCAAAATTATACCCATGAAGGTTAACACTGGCAAAATGATGCTAGCAGCATTAAAATTACACGTTTAAAAGGATTCGATAAATGGAGCAAAATAGAGCAATTTGAGATGAAGCTCTTGTACTGCACCGAAGTTTTCAGGCTTCTCTTAAATTCCAAGGTCAGAATCTCATGATACAACCTCTTAACAGCAGTACCCTTTTATAAGAGAAAACTTATAGGGAAAAGCCTAGCTTACTACATAAGCTAAGAGGGAAAGAACAGAGTAAATGGACTGCGAAAACTCTTGGACAGCTTTAGGAGGAAATAATATAACCAATGTTTATATAAGCTTGCAACGTTATTAGATTTAAGCTAAATAATACTTCCCTATGTAAAAGAAATATAAGAGCTTTTAGATCACTACTTTAGTGATCTAAAGGCTCTTATATTTCTTTAGAGAGGGAGTGCCAATGAGTTGCAGGGAATTTGGGAGTGTTTGCACCTCCAAAACTCTTGAATTGAAATATCCAGTACAAATTTATTTTGAAATGCAAGAGGTGCAACCAGATTTAGCACTAAAGGTCAACTATCTGCCCTTGCAAGATAACCAAATTAGATACCTCGTTATCGTGCATGAAGATAGTCCGATCTGGATCTCTCAAGTCCTGGAATTCAGGGTCTTCTAGTAAAATAGGTAGCATATCTGTACTTCAAGCTAAGGATATATTGCATGAGCTAGAGCTACCACCATCCAAACAGTCAAACAACAAACTGGATGACACACACAAAAAGACAAGACAGAAGGTCTGAATCAGGATACTGTGCAGCATAATTGCTGGTTTGGTTTCCCTATTTATATCTTCACAGTAATCTCTAGCTAGCATGGTAATGTCACGATGATCCATGCTGAAGAGCCACATGTCCGCCTGCAATACGAAAAGAAAGTATTTCAGTCTCCTGGTGCAAGGTGGAGATTAAATACTTCTAAACAGGATGCTCATAACACAAGTTGTTTGTATCAGGAGAACCTGAATTTTGTTGTCCATTACAAACAATCCACAGTATGGGATACAGTGATCACAAAAACTGGTTGCAAAGTGCGAAAGTTAAAATGCATGCTCTGAACTAGAACATGGAACATATATTACTTTGCTGCCACCAACAGGACAGGATGCTTCGTGCAAAGAACTGACTTAAGGTGACATGTTGACAGTCAAGGCTGCCATGATACCTCAGTCCCTCATGGTTTGCTATGAACGGTGTTCAGGCTCAGAGAAATAGAAAGAAACAATACCATGTGATCTGTTTTCCCAGGTCCCACGTACACACGCATAAGATATTTGAGGGACTTAGTATTCGTATTGTGCTATTTTTCTTTAACAGACAACAATACTGATCTACCTTTTAACACCTCTGATCCTAATTAGCCACAACCTGCTTCAGTCACAGTGGGCATTTGTTTGTCGTCTACATTGACTGGCTGTCAAGATCCGGTGTGGTTTAAAGCGATGAGTGTATATCACTAAGAGCACAAATAAAACAAAAAATACAAGTCAGTTATGAAATAAACCAACCTTATGGCATAATATAGCAGCAACCTGCATGCAAGGATAAAATATCTCGGCAGCAGGCAGTCTTTGTGGCCCATATGGTGCCTTGTTCCAACAAAACCTGCTCGGCAGATAATAATAGACTTGGTTGTTACAAGAACGATAAATGATCTGACAATGCCATGAATAAGTTCAAAACTTCACAAGTGAAGTATGCCTTAGGTAGTAGTGTAAACAAGGAAATACCTTGCCATACTTTTCATGGTGTATTTTCTGGAAATTTCCACCGCAAGTGGCCAGTAATCAACAGCATGATGATTCAACTCGTCTGACAACCATACAAGTTCTACTCTGTCAAGGTCCATACCAGCTGCTTTCCACATCTCAATATTGTAGCAACCAATGGTCCGTATTTTCTTTAGGTCGGTGCCAATCATATGGTGTCTTTGCAGAAACCAATCTGCCATCAATATTTTAACTGTGCAGCCAGCTTTGAGCATCTTGTTTACATAAACTGTCTTCATAATCCCCTGCAACATGAGAATAGGCCAATGCAACCAATTAATTTACAGACAATATATTACATGGTAAGACAAACTGGACATGAGCAAGTGTTAATAGGAGAAATGAAAGCACAACGATGGTTTGAGTAAGGCCTACGATGAGAGGTGTATATCAGAATCATAATACATACAACCCTTGCCTCAAACCATGAACAACCTATAACTCTGTGCAAGAATGCTCTTGCCGGTAAAAACAAACAGTACTAAGCTTAGCGTGGACAAGCATATTGCTAAGTCTTTTTAGCTTTATGTCTATTCCAAGCTCATCTAAGGAAGGAGTAATCTGACACACCTTATTTTTACACCAACCTCATAAGTCAAAGGTTACTCATTTAATCTCCAAACCCCAGCTAATTATGCATTTAAACTAATAATGTTACAAGCATCAAGTTTCACACTGAATTTACAAGTTAGGCTGCACCAAGAATGACCGTACTAGCAGACAGGAAAAGATTAGGAGTATGAAAACTCGTGCTGGGTAGGGCAGGAGAAGAGTAGGTGCATGGAAGTCTGGTGCTGGGTAGGGTAGAGTTCATAAAGTTAAATTTACCAAATCCACAAAAAATCGAATCTAATACCACCCTTCCTACATGTTTTAAGGTTCAGTAATAACTAACAAGCATTAAAAAAAACTTGATCAGGCACTAGCACCGGTGGCATTTTTAATCAGAGAGAACAAATATGAGCACACCCGCGAAGGCCAGGTCTAAAGCGCATGTTGGTTGTCCACGCCTTCGCACCTCTGGCCAACCAAGCGATGCTTAGTTCACAGCAAACATCCGCACGCGGCTGGGGGATACTACATCAGCTTTTCCCATTGCTATACCTGCTCTATGTCCATCATAGGGGATGGCTCAAACCAAACATAGCAAACAGGAGCAGCCTTCTTTTTCAGCAGGAGGCGGAGCTCATCCTCATAGATGCATTCCTCACCCATGCTCCTCAGAACAGCAAACTTATCATCATAACTCTTCTTCATGGCGTCCCTAAAAGTGAACGTCAATTTCATACGTCATCAGTACAAAACTTGGGACCAAATTAACAATTTCCATGCGAGCACATGCTTACCTGTAAGTATCGATAGTGGCATCAGCTGATCTATTTGTGGTGACAATTTCGGATTGCTCAGCGCTGTATGTGTCAAACATACAAGCTTGTCTGCAGTAAAAAAAGACTAGCAATAAACAAGAAATAAAATTGCAATCTAAAACAAAATGATTGAAGAATGCAGCAATATGAATCACCATTTGAAACAAAATAACTGAAGCACATGGCAGCATCTAACAATACTTGGAAATCGATTTTATGGCAGCATGAAGCAAATTGACAGAGATGTGACCTCAAACAGGCAGCAGCAACTCTGCAGAGGCAGTGTCGTCGATATGGAAGAGCCGGTGGGTACAGCAGCAAGGATTGAGAGGGAGGGGGAATGGCGGTTGGAGCAGGTTCCATTGTTGCTATTTTTGGCCTAGGCACAGTTGGACCTGAAGTAACTAAAATATATTTGGATATATATAATACTTATATAACCGAGTCTGGAAAGTGAGCTTTGACATCTGGACTTTCGTTTTTATAGATTGCTGACGGGGCGAAATCAGCTGGTGCTTCTCGGATTATTTGATTCCAAAAGGTTTGATGATGTTGGCATGACTCTAGTTCCTGTAGTTTTCTTTATTGTACATCTCGATTTCCCTGAAAGCTTTAGTAGTATGTTATTTTTCTCTTAAGCTGCATGGTCTCTTTTTGTTTAATTTCTGAAAGAAATTCATGGCTTGAACACAGCTCTATGCAGATATTAAGGAGCTACAGTCCAGACGAAAACTTCCAAAGCCATCCTATGGTGCCTCGACTAAATCATCTAAAATCCAATCCAATAAAAAGCAGATCCCAAGAACTGGCGATGGGGGGGCGAGGACTCACGGTCTAGCGCGGGCGACGCGCTGCAACTCGACGACGTTGTACGCGAACGCCTTGATCCCGGCGTTTCTTGGCGGCCGCTTGCTTCAGGTCGATGCCCCTACAAAAACCACAACCAAAACCGGGGGAACAGCTATTGCAGCCGGGTGGGTGGGGGTTTCGTTCTCTTTTTTTTTCATTAGAAGATGGTGGAGGTTTTTCTTTTCTTTTTTTGAGAATCCAGTGTGGTTTCCTCTACACAGGTTGCTCCTAGCAATAACAACAACGCTCGCTCAACTGGACCTTAGCATGTCACGGCCCATGAAGGTGCACATGTAAGGAAGAGCAACTAGTTGAGGAGCGCTCCTAACCCCTCAAAAAAATTGAGGAGCGCTCCTTCGGGAGCCTCCCAACGATCACATGGGGTGGCCTGGAGCGCGCCAGCCGCCACCATATGTCGCGCTCTGGGTGGTCCCTCTAAATTTTGTTTTTTTCACGCGTTTTCGGCTTTTTAGATATTTTTTCGTTTTTTTTACTTTTCGGTTTTTCACTGGTCTTTTTTAGCTTTTTGACAATTTTCCCCATGAAAGGAATGATTTTTCTTCCGCGAGAGGCACAGCCGTGTCTCTCAGAAATGAGAAAAAAACTTTTTTTTCTTATGTGAGAGGCATGGTCGTGCCTCTCAGAAAGGAAAAAACACGTTTTCTTTTTTTTCTTCCGCGAGAGGCACGACCATGCCTCTCGAAAACGGCTTCTAAAAAAGGAAAAAACGTGCTTGTCAGGTTTTTTCGTGGAAAAAGGTTCATCAAAACCTACAACAGGGTATTTAATTTTGAAGATCTCGACACGAGGAATGGTAAAACCGGTTTGAGATTTGGACGCACGGTTTAAGAGATAAAATATTTTGAATAAATAGATATACGAAAAAAAAGAAAACATACCAGATTGTGACAAGTGGCACTCCCAGATTGTAACAAGTGGCGCACATGCAGCGCATGACTTGTCACAACCTGGGGAGAAGGAGGGAGTGATCTTTTGGAAGGAGTCAATTAGTGATTTCGGATTTATTTTTTTAGAGAAATTAGTGATTTCGGATAAACAGGGGTGGTTCCCGTAACGTGATCACCGGAGCCCACGTCCACAACGAAAACAACTGGCCCATCTTCCTTTAGCAAGCCAAGCCCAGCCCAACTCGCGTATAGATTTGAGCCCAAATGAGCCCATCGAAGGGGAGGTCTGGACATTGCTCTGGACTGAGCAGTTGGTTCGCTGCTGCAAATTGGTTCGCTCACGCCGACGAGCATCTCCTTCCACCGTCGCCTCAATCTCCGGTGCCAGGTTCGGATCGATCGACCCCTCCCCACCTTCTCCTCCCCGTTTCAGTCTGCGCGCCGGCGCGTGCTTCTCCTAGATCTGGGACGGCCTTAGCTCGCGGGTTCGTGCCTACGCCGTTCCTGTTTACCCGCTCGCATGGCGGCGGCGGCGTAGATCTGTTCGCCTGAGGCGCTCCCGTGCCACGATTCGGGATTGGTTTTCGATTCTAGGGTCGGGCGGAGCAAATGTTTGAGCGATGCTGGAAGCAGCTCCAGTGCTACTGTTCAAGATTTGTCGCTGATTTAGTTTCTTATAAGAACTCGTTTGCTGATCTAGGTGGCACGTGCTTAGTCATCCATGCTTCTAACTCGTGCACGTTAGATTTAGCCTTTGCATTTGGCATGCCTGATTGGCGCAATGCAAGATGCGCCGTTACTGCTGATGGATGCCGCCTTTTCCTAGTTCCCCGAGGTTTTGTTAGCGAGCATCTGGGACATGGGCATTTTATTTCTATTCTCTCTGGCAGATATTTCCCCAAATATGTTTGTTGTCTGTTTGCTTATTGTTTCATGATGGATGGTAAAAGAACGACTATGAATTGGTTTATTATTTCATCTAGCACCTTTGGCCAGACATTCTTTCATTCTGAAGTAGGTGTATGTTATGCTTATGCTGCTTACAGAGAAATATCGAGTTATCAACTAGCCATATTGTAGTCTTATGAATTTGTGAGCAATGGAAGCCCCTCAGCAAGCGTCGTGATTGGCCTGCCAACGGCACCTTGATGAGGAGCTACAAGGACCTTGCTGCCAGTCTCATTTTACTCTTTGATCCTCCTTGAGGCTTAGTTTATCCTGGGCGTGTTTTGTGCTGTTGCCCCAGCATGGCCTTTGTTTTTTTTTTACCCTGTTTGAACCTTTCTTTGCTGTTGAACTTCCGTGCTCGGATGAACTTGGTTGTGTGTGGTCGTTTGCTTTATTTATCAATAAAGCGGGCGATATCCTTTTTTGGTAGTCTTATGTTTATTTGGTGCTGATGTATTTGCTTGGCATATGACCTATAGGCTATAGTTAGAGGAACTGACTGTTGATGTTCTTCCTTTTGGTTTCAGGTGTTAGGCAGAGGTTGCTGGGAACTGGCAATCATGGCCAAGGGCTGGATATTCTCTGCTTTGCTAGTGGTGTTTCTTGTGATGGCTCCTGCTTGTGAGGCGTTCTACTTGCCAGGTAGTTACATGCACACGTACCGGCAAGGCGAGGAGATAGGAGCAAAGGTGAACTCGCTCACATCCATCGAGACAGAACTGCCTTTCAGCTACTACAGCCTCCCATACTGCCGTCCTAAGGGTGGGATAAAGAAGAGTGCTGAAAATCTGGGGGAGCTCCTTATGGGTGACCAGATTGATAATTCCCCTTACCTTTTCCATGTCAATGTCAATGAATCGCTCTACCTGTGTACCACGAGCCCACTTGATGAGGATGATGTGAAGCTCCTCAAGCAGCGAAGCCAGGACCTCTACCAGGTGAACATGATTCTTGACAATCTTCCTGTGAGGAGGTTTACCGAGCAGAATGGAATGACCATTCAGTGGACAGGCTATCCAGTTGGTTATACCCCAGAAGGTACCTCCGACGTCTACATCATTAATCACCTGAAATTTAAAGTCTTGGTCCATAAGTATGAAGGAGGTAAAGTGAGGGTCGTTGGAACTGGGGAAGGAATGGAAGTGATCTCAGACACTGACACTGGCACTGATGCCAAGTTTGGGTATGAGATAGTGGGATTTGAGGTTGTCCCATGCAGTGTGAAGCGTGATCCTGAAGCCATGACGAAGCTTACGATGTATGAAAAGGTTGATTCTGTGAGCTGCCCTGTGGAGTTGGAGAAATCTCAAATGATCAGGGAGAAGGAGCAGATTACTTTTACATATGAGGTTGAATTTGTAAACAGTGACATCAGATGGCCATCACGGTGGGATGCATACCTGAAGATGGAGGGTGCGAAAATTCACTGGTTCTCAATTATGAACTCGTTGATGGTAATACTGTTCTTGGCTGGCATTGTTTTTGTCATATTATTGCGGACAGTGAGGAGGGACTTGACTAGATATGAGGAGCTGGATAAGGAGTCCCAAGCTCAGATGAATGAGGAGCTCTCTGGGTGGAAGCTGGTTGTTGGAGATGTTTTCAGAGAGCCAACCTCATCAAAGCTGTTTTGTGTTATGATTGGCGACGGGGTTCAAATTCTGGGTATGGCGATTGTCACCATTTTTTTTGCCACCTTTGGATTCATGTCTCCTGCGTCTAGAGGAATGCTGTTGACAGGGATGATATTCCTTTATATGCTACTTGGAATTTTGGCCGGATATGCTGCTGTTAGGCTCTGGAGGACTATAAAAGGAACTTCTGAGGGATGGAGGTCTGTCTCCTGGTCAACTGCCTGTTTCTTCCCTGGCATTGTCTTCATTGTCCTCACTGTATTGAACTTCATGCTGTGGTCAAGAAATAGTACTGGAGCCCTTCCCATTTCACTTTTCTTCACTCTTCTCTCCTTGTGGTTCTGTATCTCTGTGCCACTTACCCTTCTAGGTGGTTTCCTTGGAACAAGGGCTGAGCCAATTGAATTCCCCGTTCGAACCAATCAAATACCAAGAGAAATCCCTTCAAAGAATTACTCATGGCTGCTCATATTTGGTGCTGGAACTCTACCTTTCGGAACACTCTTCATTGAGCTCTTCTTCATTCTCTCAAGCATCTGGCTCGGAAGGTTCTATTATGTGTTTGGGTTCCTCCTTGTTGTGCTCCTTCTGTTGGTTGTGGTATGCGCTGAGGTATCTGTTGTTCTTACGTACATGCATCTCTGTGCTGAGGACTGGAGGTGGTGGTGGAAAGCTTTCTTTGCCTCTGGAGCAGTGGCATTTTATGTGTTCCTCTACTCT